ATGAAGTAACTGACCAAATATTGTTGAAAAGCATACTTGGTTTAAGATAGTTATGGAAATATCTCCCTCAGACCCTGTGAAATCATTCTTTCAGGTAAGCTGTGTCTGAAGATTCATTCCTGGAAATTGCCATAGGTAATTTATTTTTAATTTGGCAAAGCGCACGCAGGTGTTGACAAGACGCATCAGCGTGCATGGCTGATATAATTCGTCAGATAGGTGAGCAACATCGCATGGCTGCAACTGGCTGACTGAGAGCATGTTCCAGATGATGAATTTGGGTGCAATTCCACACATGACTCTGTAACTTGAGATCCTGGAATATTGTTCCACAGCATTCACTGACCTCAAACTTCATAAGGTTAATTGTAAAGCATCCTTCCTCAGATCTGTAGATTTTGAGCATTTCCTTTGTCTCAAATCAACATAAGGCACAAGGGACAGACTGTACCTTTAATGGCTTAAATGTGCCATTTCAATGCACTGAAATAAACCATCAGTATTACATGTACAGCTTTGAGTTCAGGTCAGGGCCCTGTGACAACATTCCTGGCATGAATCTTGTGTTCTGTAAACGTGATACCAAATTAGCATACAGCAGCTTTCAACAAGGTTTTGAAGATACCTTTACCTGACTACCACTGACATGCAAGTATGGAAGGATAATAAGCCTTGGCGGGCCTCAACCACACGCACCATTTGTTATAGTGACAACGGCAATTTCCTGAGTGCACATAATTTCCCTTCATTTTTTTTCATTGCTAGATATCAAAGCTTACACTCCCAGACCTCTGGTTATGGAATCTTCAGACTAAAAGCCCATTCATTTCCCGTGACATCACTGAAAGTAAAAAACAAACTGCAGTGGACTGCAACAAGGCTCTACCTTGTGATATCTACATGTATACCATTCATCAGCCATGCTCACTAAAAATACCACAAGGATATACACGTACGAGTTGCCGTTCATTTCTTCTCTTTTGGGAAAGGGGTCAAAATATCAAGCCTGGGAGTTCTGGCATGAGTGGTTTACCAGAACAGTCTTCTAATGGTTTCAACACTTCAAATAGCACAACAGGTTCCAAACACGAATGGAACATTACGTGCAGAAAAACCATGCCGAATAAAGATCAGAGCAGCTTCAGCCTGTAACAGACAAACATCTCTATACTTTTCATGAGGCATAAACAAGGTCTGAAAGTGTTTCACCAGCCCAGGTCTGAGGTCTCCAATCTATTTTGAAAGCAGAGTTTCTCCAACATTTTAACCAGGCAACTTACAAAAACCAACTGATATCGCCTCAATGCCAAAGACCATTAGACTACAGTGGTATATCCAAACATCACACAAAGCTTGACAAGTCAATGGTCTGGCTACCTGGTGATGGACAGAATGTTCAGAAACAGATTTAGGAACCAGCCCGAAAATAACACGAGTGTGTGGCAGTGGCTGCAGCCAGTGATTCAGTGGGGGCCACAGTTGACGGTATTGGACAGATTGTTTAATGCACTAGACTATTTTTTAGTGTTGTGTGTTTTTACTATCTTACGTTTTGGACTCTCCTGAACAGTATGGAGAGTCCCAAATCTTCAGACTGTACACCAATGTTCAGAACTAGAAGTACATGTAGAACTCTGATTAACGGGGACAGCTTCATCCTCACAACGGCTTTCTCAGTAGTTTAACTACACCTACCCCTAACATTTACACAAATCTAAGCAATGGATTTATCGCAGCCCACACTAGACTTTACCAAGCAGGTCAGTTTGTACTGGCTCCAGAAGCAACTGTACACGAGAATGTGACACCGAGAAGCTTCCAATGCAAAATCTGCCGCAGATGGAATTTGCTGAACTGAGGCAAATTCCAAAGCATGAATATTCAGCATGTTACCTGCTGCGACCAGGACGAAGAGTCCTTCACTGTGTTGCACTTGCCATTACTCAAGACAAACTCCACAGAATTCTAGGAGCAGCTTTTCTGGAAACTTTTGCGATGTTCCCCCCAAAATTCCAGCCGTTCTGGCAGAGGAGCTGGGCTTAGAACATTTGATTGTCCAGTGATTTAAATGTCTGTCTAGAGCTATATCTATGACTGAACAAGACAGGTAGTGTAGAGCCATGGTAGCCATCTTACAGGACAGTTGTTTTGTTCCATAGGGAAACCCCTTCTGTGCACACCCTGAGGAACAAAAGCACTGACCTGCAGGATTGCAGCCATGCAAACCCTCTACTGTGGTTTTTGATACAACTAATCATTACGTTAGATATTCCACCTTTTCTGCAATGCCGTAGTTTACAATTTGTAACAATGAACAAGCGTGTTCCTATGCCCGCCTTGGCTTTTAAAATTCTTCAATAAACATCCTTTTACATTCAAACTGCCCAGGTATTTTTTTTTTAATTTTGGCATCAGTCTTGTTAAAAACAAGAGAGTGCCTCACCACTGTATCATTGCGCAAGCCACGCAATACTATCAGTGAACATGTCATCATCAAGTTCCAATAACAGAGTTACAGTGTACGTCAATATTGAACCATTTTGACTCGCCAGTTTTGACTTTCTTTGGGCTTCGTCTGAGCTAGCCATTTTGACACATTAAGCCAGATGCTGTCAGACTTCAAATTCTTCAAAGGATACCAGGCCCAGACATCCCATAACATGAATGACACATCAGCAACCCAGTCTTTGGACAAAGCGTGCCAACTCCTTTACATCAGAACATCCGATACAACCATGCTGACATAAATCTACAGGTACATACCGGTAACACATACTTTCACTCTAGCCTATGCAGTTTCAATAAATGTGGTTAAAATGACACATTTTGGGAAGTCACTAAATCTCACAATGCTCTGCTTCCTCAATTTTTTTCTTAACCGTGCTTCATGTGGACATGCACAATTCAGACAATTCAGAAGGTGGTTGCTTTAAACGTCAGGACTGAAAAGAGAGAAGATGAGCTCAAGGATCAAATATGCACGTGAAACTTGATGTACGCATGGAGGAAGGACACAGAAGGAGTTACAACTCTGGCACATTAAAGTGCTCGATGATCATCGCCGCCCGGTCAGACGAACAATAGTAAACATTTAAAAAATGCCTGCTTACTGCCTGCAGCTTAGCCGGACAAGTGGGGCCAGTAATATCGTAGCAATATTTGTGGTGTTTTCTTTGCAATTAACTGGAACTTGTTGCAGTGACCAGGAAATAGAAAGAAAATTAGCTAACATTAGATTTACTTTTGCAGCTGTAATTTTTTTTTTTAGATTTTGAAGCACTTTTCTATAATCCATGCAATGTTTGTAATTTTATTTTGTCACTCCAAAACATCAATTTTCAAAGTCTTTCTACGAATTTGGCTAAGTCTAGCCAACAACATGTTGACCACCACAGGACAGTTAAGTTCACGAAAAACGAAATGTGTGGTTTCATCACAAGGAGTGATCATGAAATCTCATAAAATACCTTTATGTGTGTAAATTCCGTAATAAAAATGATTCAAATAAAACGCAAGATCTTATAAACAACTTGGCTATTTATTTCCAAAATAAGTCCAGAAGAAAGCGTTCGATAAGGGCAACAACTGCACGTGAACACTTCAGGTACACAGCCTAATAAAAGCAACTGCGCAAGCATTAAATTTGATGTTGTTGTCATATCATACCGAGCACCAGCGATGGCACGAATATACAACTTCCTATACTGCAGTACACAACATTTTAAGGATGCAGATTACCAGCAAAAAATTGTGGCGGTGATCATGGGGTACAAAGGGGGCTTATGGTTGTGAAACAGGTGGTGCGTAGCATGTATTTGCTGGGCTCTGGCTATGGACATACCGAAAAGCGGTAATTGGCCAGATGTTATAGCCTGGGCAATTCAAGCTCCTTCTGTGTCCTTCCTCCGTGATGTACAGCAGCTCAAACAACAATTCAGTTGTCCTGTACAACTTCAATTTTGGAATTTCAGACTCACCACTATAACCTCTACGCGTACCACCACCATCACCATTTGGAACTTTTAAAGGTATATGCAGTCTTTGCTTGGGCGAGCTTGATCAGAAGCATGCTGTAGCAACCGGGTGTGGTCTGCAGTACAGTGAAGGACACAAAAGAAAAAAAAAAGGTGAGTGATAAGTCGGACGTGAAGTTTCGGTTTTTGAAATACATTCCATGAACTTTCTGTCAAACACTAAAAAAACCTATATGAAAAGGTTAAATGGCCGATGTTCTGGGAGCAGGCTGTGGATACTTTGATCCTGAGTTGAGAGTGTTTCAGAGAAGCTGTGTTAAACTGATCAATAACAACACATGTAAGGACCACTCTGCTAATTTTACTTGTTATTTATTGTTTAACTGTCGGGTTGTTTGTACAGATGAGAACAGATGGAATTCCATGGGCCTGTTTCTTTTTTCCACATGGATCAGAATCTCAATCAGTGATCCCAAAGCTGGTTCACTACATCCATTAATTACATGTAGGATCTGGAGTTAGAGAACCAATTTTGGATCATTGATCACCATCTACGATACACAAACAGGCTCCTTGAGGTAAAAAAAATCAAACATGCCACTTTGCTTTGGGACTGTTTACGAAGAGAGGGAACAAAGCATGCAGCAGGGTAATAAACCACTGCGTTCAGAAACCTGAACAATTTTTCAAAGATGCTGAACTGAGACAACATGATCTAGAAAATCAGCGGTCTCATTAGGTATAAAGCCATGGACTGACAGGCATGGTCGATTCATCCTTGCCTTGCCTTTGACTCTTACAATGGGCTGCGACTGTTACTATGGAAAGTCGGTATCTGCATACCAAGCAGGCTTCTGCCTTGTATGTAAAACAAAACTCTTTCTGCTTTGTTTCCACTCTTCTTTGAAAATGGGCCTTTAGTCTGTAAAACTACATGTGCATGTACATATCGCAAAAGGCTGTGCAAGACTGCATATACCCC